CTTCCTTCTTCTTCTTCTTTTTTTCTTTTTTTTTTTTAATCTTCATTAAGTGCCTTAAACTAATTTTCAAACGACACTTATATCCTTTTTCTCTCTTCCTTATTTATTTCTTATTTTTTTAAGCTTATAAACTCAACATTGTATTTTGTAAAATAAGAATAACCTAAGAAATAGAGAGGGAAGGGAGAAAGTACATGGGGTCATTTGACAATTCGTTTATGGAATTTATTTGGATTAAAGTAAAGAAAGAATGGTAGTAATGTTTTCCTAAATACGCACTGAGACTCGACTATCCGACCCTGCTTGGTCTGGCTATGAGTCCAAGATTTGGACCCGACGGGTTGGGTCCAGGTCCAAATAGTAAATTGGGTCATGTCCAAGGTCTAGGTGGACCTGCCCTAGACCCAACCCTGTTATTTTAAAATATTATATAATAGTTTTAATATATAAATTAGAGTAATGATCCTATGAAACCTCCCACACCCATGTGTGTAGAACTCCAAAGGATCGCCATTAAATTTGGCATTGATCTCTAGAAAAGTTATCACATGAGTGTGGGACTTAACTTTTTAGAGATCTGTGTCAAATTTAACGGTGATCCTTTAAGGTCCTACACTCATGGGAGTGAGAGGGTCTCATAGGATCATTACTCTATAAATTATGAAGGTCAATATAATGATATATACATATATACATACTCTTTTATCTTCTTTCAGCACTATTCTTTTCTTGGCCCAACCCTTATATATAAATATATATACTCTTTTAAGGTTATATATGTACTTTTAAAATTTTTATATAAAATATATACGTTATATACTAATACATATATTAATATATTATTTTATATTTACTTTTTACTTTTTTTTTGAAAATCTTCTTATTAGTCTTAAAATGAGAAAATTGATGAATTATTGCCCCAATCTTTTTTTTAGCTATTTATATATTCTTGAAAATTTTAATACTTTTTGGTTATGCATTTTTAGGTAATTTTTTAAATTTTTAGCTAATTTTTTAATTTTCTATTTATAATCCATCGGGTCCGAGTCCGGGTCCGGGTGGACCCGTTCCCACCCCTAGATGGCAGGGACATTTGATAGGAGTGGAAAGAACTATTTATAAATTTCTTAGTACGGATTGACAAGGATAAAAGGTGGGCTTACCATGAAATAAGAAACTTTTAGGGGCTATAACAATATCTTGACTACAAATACATAGGTATCTTCATTTTCTTTAAGTTTTCAAAAGTTAATCAGTTTATGTATAAAATTTATACTTTAAAATTAGTTTTTTAGCTAATTATATTACGGAAAATTTATCCAAATAGCTATGAGAGATGAACTATTTAACCTTCTACTCATATCTTTTTTATTTAATTGCAAAATACTAATGAAAAGATACATGATTATCGAATAGTTAATACCAATGGTTTAAAAAACGGATCGGTGACCCGGATCGGGCTTCCAAAAAACCGATCCGGATCGGCGAATCGGCGATCCGGATCGGGAATCGGGTGAATCGGTCACAATAAAGCTTAAAAAAAATTCGAAAAAATTATTAAAATTCATTATAAATATTTTTTTTTAGGAATTCAATAAAAAATGAGGGTACTCCATTAAGAATTTTCATGTTTTTGAATGAATATGCGAATATTGATATGTTCTTTCCCTGCATGAACCGCCATTCAGCATTTAATTTACAGTATTTCATGCTCATCCCTACACTGTTGCTGTTGGGACTCGATATGTGAACAATATGGCTAGGATAGGGTGGCCTCAGAATCATCATCTCTCTCATTTTCTCTTTGAATAATATGGATTAAAAAAAAATAACAAATTTTCAAAAAAATCGATCATGGATTAAAAAAAAAATCACAAATTTTCAAAAAATTCTATCATGGATTACAAAAAAAAATTCGATCATGGATT